GGCAACACAGAGATGTGTTTAAAACAGAGGCTGGAGTCACAGGGAGTTGAACGCTGAACACTAGGTTATGTTCCTCCACGGTTCTTTTTTCCTCCACGGATCTTTTTTCCTCCACGGTTCTTTTTTCCTCCACGGTTCTTTTTTCTACCAAATCCAAAATCTTCGTCCCAACTTGGATTTTGTGGCTGAGTTTATTTGTTGTTTATTATCGTTGTTCAAAGTCACAGAGAACAGAACCGTCTGGTCCAAAAGACTGAGGGTCAGAACTCACCCTGGGAGAATCCAGTCTGGGAGTCAGAGAGAGGTCCAACGTCCAACGTCCAACATCCAACATCCAACATCCCACATTAAAATCCAACATCCCACAACGTCCAACATCCAACATCCAACATCCCACATTAAAACATCCAACGTCCAACATCCATCCACCCCATGAAATCTGTCAAATATTTTATAATTAATTAATTTTCCTGGTTAACAGGTTAATCTGGTCCCAACAATAACTAACAATAACTACTAATAACTGGCCCTTGATGAGTTCACTCCACATCATCACACAGTTTGGCCGTTGTACTGTACAGACGGATGACCTCCGACCTCAGAGGTTTTCATCGTCGCTCATCAATAACTGCAGGTCATTTCAGCAGAGCAGCGTTGGATAAAAACAAAGATGGCCGCCCAGAGCTCCTGACAGCAGAGAAACTAATGATCGCTGTGGCAGAAAAAAAGGATTCTGATATGATGTAAGCGTTCAACGGTGTCTGCTGTGAGATACGGCGTCTGTCACCTCCCACCGCCAACCGACGATTGATTCCCTCTGCCCTTAAACTCCGCCGCTCACAACGCTGAGCCAAGGACACTCGCCTGCCCGGTCAAGTAATGACAATCGTCTTTAAGGAATAATGGCCCCACGGCTGCTTCGGAAAAGTTACCGGGCCGCGTCCAGTAATGAATTCCCGCCGGATGACACGTTGATAGATTCCCATTCTGGAGATAGGACAGTGTAGCTGCAGTTTAATTGACAAGAAATGAACGGGGGAGGTGGGAGAGGCAGGGCTCTGAGGGGGAGGGACTAAATCTGGGTTATCAGCAAGGTTCCAAACAATCATTGGCCGAGAGAAGCCTCTGCCATATCTATAAGTCAGGCTGTTTTATAGGCCATTAGGACGTGGGCAGAAGGGCCGCGTGGAGACCACGGCTTTTTGTCGAAATTAAAATGTCACAGAGGAAGAAATAGAACAAAACAGGGAATCTGCAATTAATTACACAGCCATAAAAATTCAATAATCGAGGAGAGCTGTTTTCTACACAGAGGCACTTCAGGCTGCAGCAGCAGCAGCAGCAACAGCAGCAGTAGAAGTAGAAGCAGCAGCAGCAGCAGCAGGAGAAGCAGCAGCAGCAGCAGCAGTAGTAGTAGCAGCAGTAGCAGCAGCAGCAGCAGCAGCAGTAGAAGTATCAGCAGCAGCAGCAATAATGCTCATATTTGTATTGGAAAACGCAGATATTTCCCCCTCCCACTGGTGCAGTATGTTTATATATCCATCCTCTCACGTGTGTGTGTGTGTGTGTGTGTCAGCAGCAACAGCAGCAGCAGTAACAGCAGCAGCAGCAACAGCAGCAACAGTAGAAGTAGCAGCAGCAACAGTAACAGACACACAGACATATATATAACTTTAACATTATTATAACTAACTAATCTTTGTTGGACTGTAGCGGTGGACTGTAGCGGTGGACTGTAGTGGTGGACTGTAGCGGTGGACTGTAGTGGTGGACTGTCCACAGACGTTCTCTAACGTTGACTCAGACTCGTCCATAAATCACCTCAGTCTTCACTTTATTTACAACTAAAAACCTGCTGTTTTTCCACATTTT